ATTGTGGGGGCTGTTGTGTCTTACACAGCAGTGGGGCATCAACAAATCTGAGGAGGAAGAGGACCTCCCCAGCATGGGTGCTGTCAGCCCTGGGGCACAGAAGCCAAAGAAGGGCAAAGTCCATATCTGAGATGCATTTTTTTTGGTCTTGCATTTTTGTTTGTTTCCTTGTTTATTGTGTGGGGACAGGGACAGAACCCAGGGCCTCCTGCGTGCCAGGCAGGCGCTCTCCCAATCGAGCCACGCCCCAACCCTTTAATGCATCTGTTCGATTGTTTATCAAACACTGTATTTCCTAGGTAGCTCTCTAAGGTGGGAGGGTTCACTAAGATTAAATGCCTTGAAGAAGCTCAGATCAAATGTATCACTCTCTACCAATAGGTGTAATTCAGTTAGATGACTGTGATATTTACTGAGCAGTGTGGTTTTAGATTTATTAACCCATGTACTTCACAATCTAGTCAGGCAAGTTACTGTTATTGTTCCACTTTACAGATGAGAAAGCAGAGGCTTGGAGATGTGGAGTGACACGATCGGATCACCCAGCCACTTAGTTGTGCTGGGCAATCATAAAGGCAGGCACGGTGCCAGGCCAGAGCTCAGTGCTCCGGACTGTTGCCAAGGGAGTGTGTACAAAATACCATAGGAATTCAGAGGGCACCACCTTGTAGGCGAGGTGACCATGGGACACAGAGATGGCTGGGGACGGGGCTCCTCTCCCCACCTCTGCAGGGGGTGGATCCTAAGTGCCCTGCTCCAGGGACTGTGTGCTGATGGATGCATCCTTTAGCTGGACTGATTGTGCCACCAGCTTCCCAGTGTGCACACCTATCAGGGCAAGTTGTATTGTGAAATATATACAATAAAAATAATGTGTCCTGAGCGGTCTCTGCCTGGCTGAGAGCTGGACGGCCTGAGTCCACAGCAGAGACAGCATCTTGGGCCTCTTCTGCAGTGGGGGCCGGGTCCCCCCAAGTGCACCCCAGCAGAACTCTGGGGCTTGTCCTTCACGGTTCCTTCCTCCCATAGGAAAAATCCAAACAGACCCAGCCTCCAATTTAGGCATCAGCCAGGTGGCCTGGGGAGCCACTCTTCCGCAGCCCTCCAGCCCGGGTTTTGCTGCTCTCTGCCCCTCACTTCCCCAGCATCTTCCGAAGAGTAAACCTGTCAGGCTGGGAGGTGACACCTCGGTGGCTTCCTGGGGTGGTCTGGTTGCCTTGGAGAAGCTTTGTGCCCAGGGCTGCCTCTCCCCACTCCGTACCCTCCTGCCAGCCACATCATGGCGTGTCCAGCCCAGAGAGGACACGCAGCCCCTCTGGGTATCCCAGGGCTCTAGGATGACACTGGAAGCCTCTTGCTTGTCAGTGGAGAGCAGCAATGGACAATGTATAAAGCATAGGAAGAATTTCAACATGGCAACAGCAAAGAATCAAGCCTGTACCCTCTGAATGTGGGAGCCTGTGGGTTTCAGAGGGCAACAGGGTGACGCAGGGTTTGTGTTCAGGCATCTGGTATCCAATTCAGCCACAGATTGGACCTAATACAACATCACTGGGCAAACTGTTCTCCTCCCTGGGGGCCAGAGATAGATCAGAGGAGAGGCCAGAGGCCAGGGAAGGAACCAGGCTTGTTGAAGGTCATCCAGCCAAAAAAAGGTCTCCCAACCTAAAGGGTGAGATTTGGGTGAAGCTACTCATTTTTCCCGAACACTCTGCGTGTGTAATAGGTGTACGCTTCAAGCTAGTCTGCGACTTCTTAGTGGGCCAGCACTCCAGTGTGTGTGTGTGCGCACACACACACACACACACACACACACATGCATGCACACGTGCGCGCACACACACGTGCACGCGTGGACCCTACCCAGTGGAACACACATGCCCACAGACAAGCACATCCAAGTGTTCACGTGTCCCAGCGCATGACTTCCTCCTTATAAATAAAGGTACATGCAGCCAAGCCAGTGTTGCTACAACCAAAGCGCAGGCCCCCAAGGATCCGGGTACCCTCAGTTTCCCCTGAGCCCCGGAGTGGCCGAACTGTCTCAGCTGCGCCCTCTGTGTTGCCCGGCTGACCTCCCAGGACAGCCGCAAGCTTGATAGGATGGAGTCCGTGCGGGGAGGGTATCCATGTCCATTCCCTCCCTGTACCTGTGCAGGGCCCAGTGCCCTTTGGCCGTCCCAAGGGCCTGTGGTCTCCGCTTGGAGGGTCTGGGTTTTGAAATCCCTGCCTCACCACCCTATTCTAACCCTGGTACTCTTCTTCCTCCCCCTTTCCTGGCACCGGCCTCATCCCTTTTCCTTCTGTGAGAGAGCCAGTCCTGAATAGGGCTCTCCGCACCGACCATTTGAAATCAACCCTCCTGGCCCCTCCCTGGCCCTCCGCAGAGCTCGGCAGCTGGGCTGTGCTGTGCTGTCTTGGGGCAGGATGTGGGGGCAGGCGG